ACATACGACCCGCCCTCCTACCTCCCCACCGCTGACGATGCCGCTGCTGCCGATGACTTCAGGACTGCCCTCAAGGACATTGGAATCAAGGGCTCAGCGTACCGCAATCTCATCTCTACCCTCGCCGGACTGCTCAAGCTCGGAGACACGCTCGACTACAACCTGGACGAGGACGTCTTTGACGAAATCTGCGAGGATGTGAGCGGCTTGCTGGGTATGGACCCCGAGACCCTCGCCACCCAGTGCACGACACAGGACCGCTCAACGCTGGTTGGCGGTCTGTACGAGGCATTGGTCGACTGGGTCATCTCCAAGGCCAACCAGGCGATCTCGGCGCAGATGGCACGTATCAGAGACGGTACCGAGTCCATCGCAGGCGGTGCCCGCACGCCTACTTCCAACGGCGACGGCGACACTGTCTGCATCGCCATATTGGATGTCCCTGACCCAACCCTGGGCAAGGCCCTGACCATGCGTGGCATCTTTGACGACACCGTGGGCATCAACTCAGAGATGATTGCCGACGGCATCGAGGCTTCTCCCGCCGGCAGCACCGTCGTGCGTGAGATGCAGACAGCCATCGCGGAAGTCGGTCATGAGCTTGGCATCATGTCTGGCGCCGCCGGCAAGGACCGACAGCACGCCCTCGAGAAGCGTGAAGAGGTCCTCGAGAAGATTGGACACTCAGCCGACGACGACGCGTTCCTCAAGAAGCTGCTTTTCCCAGTCTCCGGCCAGGGCATCAACCTCGGGGTTGCTGGACGTCTTGAGCTCGCGTCACTTCTCAGCTCCAGCCGCGTGTGGTACCACCTCTCGATCCACCCCACCGACGACTCTCCCGCCAGCTTGGCTGCTTTGCCTTCAGTCAACTCTGCCTGGTCAGCGGGTACAGTCTCCCGCCAGCTCCGCTCTTGGAGGCTGCCCGAGTGGGCCAATAGGCGAAACAAGAACCTGGACTTCACCGCCGATTTCGATATTGACGAGTTTGTCCAGCGATACGCTGCGCTGGGCTGCCAAGACGGCCGCGAGGGTATCGAGACGTGGATTCTCGAGCGTGGATGGACCAACGGCGAGGTCATCGTCGGCAAGGAGCGTGTGTGGACGCGCGAGAGCACTTGGTGGGAGGCGGAGAGCATGCTCGACATGAAGCCCCTCGACAACAACCTCCCCGGCATGGGCAATGTCCTGGCCGTCAACAACCTCGAGTCGGGCTACTCTGCAAACGGCAGCGGCTACTTCCCGACGCCCATGCTAGACACGACGCCCAACGGCAGCCGTGATCACCTCATTGCCCACCAGCGCAATGCTAGCCAGGGCAACCTCTCCCAACACACCCTCGCCCACAATGCCGCGATGCGTGCTCCCTCGGTCGCTCCTTCGGGCATGCGTTCCGCCCAGAACGGAGACTACGGTCTCGGCACCAAGGGTGACACCTACAAGGGCCAAGTCTTTTACAACAACGAGGGCGAGTTTGTCGGTCAGATGGACCCTGAGATTGCCGACGGCAAGCATGTCGAGGAGAAGACCATGGACAAGGACCGCCGCCTCTGGGTTGCCATTGTGTGGTTCTGGACCTTTTGGATCCCCTCGCCTGTGCTGCGCGTCATTGGCCGCATGAAGCGTCCCGACGTGCGCATGGCTTGGCGTGAAAAGTTCACCCTCGTCTGGTTCATCGTGCTCATCAACGCTGCTATTGTTTTCTGGATTATCGGTTTCGGCAAGCTCCTGTGTCCCAACTTTGACAAGGCCTGGGACAGCGACGAGGTCAGCACGCACGGGGGCGAGACGGATTTCTACGTCAGCTTCCGTGGTGGTGTATACGATGTCTCCAAGTTCTGGAAGACGCAGCACTCCGATACCAACATTGAGACGACCAAGGACAACATGATTCAATTCGCCGGATTGAACATGGACGACTACTTCCCGCCCCCCCTCACTCTGGTGTGCCCCGGTCTGGGAATCGCCTCGACCACCGCACTCCAAGCCAATACCACCCCCGAGTACACGATTGGTATCCACAAGTCTGGCTCTCTGGCCGACGACCGTACGAGCGCGCTTGGCGACTCTGATTGGTACAGCAAGAAGCTGCTGCCGCGCATGAAGGAGTTCTACAAGGGCAACCTCGTCTGGGACAAGGCCGACGTCAAGTCGGACGGTCAGGACAACAGCCACATGTGGGTGATTTACAACGGCGGCGTCTACGACTTTACAAACTACTACCACACCCAGGACGTGTTCAAGCAGGTCGACACGTACAAGTTCCTCAATACCAAGATGATGAGCGCCGTTGAGAATAACCCGGGTGAAGATATTACCGACAACTGGAACACCATCATCAAGGCCGCCGCCAGCAACTCGACCGAGAATACCAGCGTCCAGAACAGTCTCAACTGCGCCAAGAATTTGTTCTACGTGGGTATTCCAGACTTCCGCTACTCCGCTAGGTGCCAGGTCAACAACTACATCATGTTGGCCATGACGATTATTCTCTGCGCCGTCATTCTCATCAAGTTCTTGGCTGCCCTGCAGTTCGGTTCCAAGCGTCGTCCCGCTCCCCAAGACAAGTTTGTTATTTGCCAAGTGCCGGCCTATACCGAAGGCGAAGACTCGTTGCGGAAGGCGCTCGACTCTTTGACGGCCCTTCAGTACGACAACAAGCGCAAGCTCATCTGTGTCATTTGTGACGGTGTCATTGTCGGTGAAGGCAACGATCGTCCTACCCCCAAGATTGTCCTGGATATCCTCGGCGTCGACCCCAAGGTTGACCCGCCCGCGCTGCCCTTCAAGTCTGTCGGCACGGGTAGCGAGCAACTCAACTACGGCAAGGTGTACTCTGGTCTGTACGAGTTCGAGGGCAACGTCGTCCCCTACCTCGTCATTGTCAAGTGCGGCAAGGAATCCGAGCAGAGCAAGGCCAAGCCCGGTAACCGAGGCAAGCGTGACTCCCAGATTCTGCTGATGAGCTTCCTCAACCGCGTCCACCACCGTTCCCCCATGTCCCCGCTCGAGCTTGAAATGTTCCACCAGATCAACAACATCATTGGCGTGGACCCCGAACTGTACGAATACCTCATGATGATTGACGCCGATACCTGTGTCCGGGAAGACTCGCTCAACAGACTGGTTTCCGCCTGTGCCAACGACGCCAAGATTGCCGGTATCTGTGGTGAGACTGGTCTGCAAAACGACGACAAGACCTGGTGGACCATGATTCAAGTCTACGAGTACTTCATCTCCCACAACCTGGCCAAGGCTTTCGAGTCTCTCTTCGGATCCGTCACCTGTTTGCCCGGATGGTATGTACCCTCACTTCTTCCTTATAATACCCAGCTAACCCGTCAGTTTCACAATGTACCGTCTGCGCACCGTCGACAAGGGCAAGCCGCTCATTATCTCGGACAACATCATCCGCGACTACGCCGTGTGTGACGTCGACACTCTCCACAAGAAGAACCTGCTGTCCCTTGGTGAGGATCGTTATCTGACGACGCTCATGACCAAGTACTTCCCGTCCATGAAGTTCAAATTCATCCCCGACGCGTACTGCCAGACTGCCGCCCCCGAGTCGTGGAGCGTTCTGCTGTCCCAACGTCGTCGCTGGATCAACTCCACCATCCACAACCTGTTTGAACTGATGAAACTCAAGGAGATGTGCGGTTTCTGCTGCTTCAGCATGCGCTTCATCGTCTTTATTGATCTCTGTGGTACCATTATCCTCCCGGCTACGACCTTCTACCTCGGCTACCTCATCTACCTTGTGGCCAGTGGGACCGGACAGTTCCCCATGATTTCCATCATTATGCTGGCCGCGGTGTACGGTCTCCAAGCCCTCATCTTTATCCTGAAACGGCAGTGGCAGCACATCGGATGGATGATCATCTACATCCTCGCCTTCCCCATCTACAACTTTGCGCTCCCCATCTACTCCTTCTGGAACCAGGACAACTTCTCGTGGGGTAACACTCGTATCGTCATTGGAGAAAAGGGCATGAAGAAGCTCATCGCCGTGGACGACGAAGGCTTCGACCCCCGCAGCATCCCGCTCCAGCGTTGGGACGACTACGCCATGATGAATAACCTTCCCGGCCGCCGCGGCGGCTACATGGAGAAGGCCGACATGGGCTACGACGACCAGTACGAGATGGACGAGATCCGCTCCGTCTACTCGTCCGTCCGCCAGGGCTCCGTCCTCACGGGCATGAACCGCAACAACCACTACGTCCCGCCCCAGTCGCCCGCGCCCTTTGGCGGCATGGCCCGCGCCTCGGGCGCCACGAGCCCCTACCACCACGACCAGCACATGGCCAACCGCCAGTCCATGGTCTCGCTCGGCGCCCACGACATCAACCGCGGCCAGACGCCCTTCCAGGACTTCCCCAGCAGCCGCCCGAGCGTCTCCAATCTCCGCGGCCAGGCCAGCGTCTCCCCCGGCCTGGGCGTCGGCAACAACCGCTCGCAGTCGGCCCTCGGCATCAACCGCCAGCAGGCCGGCGCTGCGCAGTCGACGTCGTCGTTTGACTTCCAGCGCGGCAACATGCAAGGCCCCGACGATGGCATGATCATTGACGCCATCCAGGGCGTCCTGCGCGAGGTCGACCTCGACACGGTGACCAAGAAGCAGGTGCGCGCCCTCGTCGAGCAGAGGCTGCAGACGGGTCTCGTCGGCGAGAGGAGGACGTTTATGGACAGACAGATTGACAACGAGCTGGCCAACATGTAAACAACGTACGTGTGCCAGCACCACAACGGCAATCGTACATAGCATGGCCAGCTTTCATCTGTCGTATAATGAGGGCATTTAAAAAAAACTCGGGGCGTTGCGATCTAGGGGCATGTCTTGGATACAAATCCTGTTTACCACGTTTCTTTCTCTTTATTTGGGGGCATATCGTAGTTCTTTGGCACCACCGGATAATACATCTCCTAGTAGTTCAAATTAATCTGTATGAGACAATGGACCTTCATTATGGACCGTGTGAAGAACTTTTATTCTTGTCTACTCATGTCCTCCGCTCCTGAATCTTGCCAACGCCGTTGAGCCGCAGATAGACATCGGTGCCCCAGCCGTACAGGCTCTGCACGGCAATCCCACCACCAAAGTACTCGGCGTACGCCCGACTCAGCGGCAGTCCGTACCCGAGTCCCGCAATCGAGCTCCCGCCAGCACTCGCGCTGGAAATGACATTCAGCCCACCATCATCGGACCCGGGGAACTCGTCGTCGTCGGAAAAGGTGGTGAAGGAGTAGGACCAGATGTTGGGCAGCACCTCGGGGGAGATGCCGCCGCCGCGGTCGCGGATCCGAATCGTCACGCCGGGAACGTTATCCTCGAGCGGCTTGATGGCGTCGCTTCTGAACTCGCCGCGCGTCTCTTTGGGCACCTCGATCTTGAGGTGCTGGTTTGGTCGGGGCGGCTCCGGGGCGATGGTGACGACGATGGGCTCCTTGTTGTCCCTGGCTTCCACGGTGGCTCGGAAGGCATTCTTGAGGAGCTCAGTGACTATGTATTCGAGGTGCATCGGTATAAACGCAAACGTGGTGTCGGGCTCGCCGTCGATGACGAGCTGCGGCCGTACGCCGTACCGCAGCTCGCAAATGTCAGCCACGAAGCCGGCACAGGATTCGATGATGTGGGCGGGCTTGAGAGCCGTGTCGATGACGCCAATGTAGCTGGGCTGCTCCGGGCACGGGGTCGGGCTGGCCTGCGGGTCAAAGTGCGGCTGGGAGCTGTAGTGCAGGGCAATGTGCTGCTCGGCGACGAGGCGGGTGCCGATGCGGGCGCGGAGATGCTCGTCGAGGAAGCGGGTGACCTCTTGCGGGGAGATGTAGCGGCGGCACTCGAGGAAGCCGCGGGCGAGAATGGGGATTGTGTCGGTGTGGGTTGCAACGAGCTCGGCCAGGACCTCTGTGAAGCGGATCTCGTCGTCGAGAGTGCGAACAGCGCTGTCGCCGCCCTTTGTCCACCAGGGGAGGAGAGTGGAGAGAGAGTGGACGTAGTTGTTGTAGATGCGGCTGATGTTGGGGTTGGAGACGACAATGTAAGGGAGGTTGCGGAGAGCCTGGATGCGGTGGGCGAGGCGGATCGGGAGGAGGGAGAGGGTGAAGTTGGCCGAGGACAGCAGGGACTTTTCGCTCAGAGGAGGGCGGCCGTGTCTTTTGATGTTAGTGCGTGCAATTAGGATCAATGGTTAGGGAGTGTAAGTACTTGACTAGGTCGGTGAGGCTCAAGGGATGCTGCGTCTTGTTGGCGAGCTGGACAATCTCGTGGTCGTCGACACGGGACAGGTGGTGGGAGGAGCCATGGCGGTGACTGTGACGGCGGCCGTGCCGAGAGGAAGAGAGCAGACGAGTGTGTGAAGGAGTAGTGAGTTGTGCGAGTATCCTCTGGGGCGTCTTATGCCTCAATGGTCTCGCGATGGGTATCATGGCGGCATTGTCGATGTTGCAAAGAGGAGTGATACGGTCAAGGGGAAATCCGTTGGGGAGGTTTCTGGTGCAACACGCAGTAACAGCAGCAGTAGCAGCAGCGGAAAGAGCATGAGATCATGCGCTTTGGGACCTTAGCGCGCGTGGTTTGTGGGGTTCCCAGTGGCTACCGACGGCGCCTGGGTGAGGTGGTCCGGGCTCTCCATGAGCCCCGCGCCGGGGGTGGTGAGACACTTGGACCTCTGGCGGCGGGGGCCGATTCCAAGCGCCTTGATGCTACCGGCAGGTACCTCGTTGTTTGTACGAATGAGGATCTTGATGATGTTAAAGGACATGTTTGCCTAGCTGCCTTATTGGGGCAGGTTGCTACGACCCCAGCGTCACAAACAATGAAACCAGCCAACAGAGGTGAAGCGTAAATCATTAAGAATCTCGTGAGTCTAAGGTATGTAGTGGATCAAGTACATCTTGCCAGCCCCTCGCTCGGGATACATCCCTCTATTGCGTCTTGACCTCCTGGTCCTTCTCGACATGCTTGACGTGCTCGTGGCTCTCGAGGGTTGAGATCTGGTCCTCGGGGAACTCGACGCTGTAGTTGGTCAGTCAGCTGTACTGGTGAGGGAGATGGGGGAGAGCGTACGAGAAACCCTTGATCAGGCTGTACTCGTGGCCAATCTTTCCTCCCTGGTCGGTGGCGTGCTTCTTGGCACTGACATGTTATTAGCTTTCTAGATTTGTACCGTCGTGAAAGAGATGACTTACGCCGCGACCTGGTCGGCGGAGGCGTCCTCCTTGCAGGTGACCTGGAGGTGGTTAGCTTGCTGAACATCGATGGCAGTGTAGGAAAGTTGTACTCACAATGTAGGTAGGCATTTTGATGGTTGTGTTTGGGTTTGTGTGGTGGAAGTTGTAGTTTGTGGTTGTGCAAGAGCGAGATTGAAGTTGACAAGCTCCCAGGTTGGACAGAGGCCGACAGAGTCTCTTTATAACCAAGCCGCCAGGACTCATGCCTGCCCGGTTTGCTAAGGGATGTGCTACCTTCCAGACGGTACACACCAGTGACAGTGACGGATGGGTGTGGGAACTCGATGTGGGCTACCTACTGCGTACAGCCGGGAACTAACAGTGATGCGGAAAGGTTCGTGGGTGGCCCAGCGAGTGGAGGGGAAGGTCCATGCAACCACAGCAACTATCTACCTAATGTCCCTGGACCACGACTGCGTGGGTGTGGACGCCTGTGTGGTACGTATGGCATTGGATGGCACCAGCATCTGCTTGCTCCCTACGGTTAAGGTAGTGCTCCCCCAATGCACACGCAATACGTCATCCCTCCTTTGCGCATGTCTTGAGCCGAGATGGTCGCCTCCATCTGCCTGCCAGACAACCAACAAGTTATCCCTCAAAGACATCTGTGGCGCATAGAGCGCATCCACAACACGTCCGACGTACACAGCCGAGATAAGACGCGAGAAACAGACCAGATCTGGCGTCTTATGCATCTCGTTTCTTCACGCATCATCCTGCCGGTGCGCGCAGAGGATTGCGGAGCTTTGGATTGTCTTGTGACTTGGCCCAGACACCAATCAATGCGTTCCCGGCCATCTCTCACCATCTCCCACCACCGGGTCGTCATCGCCATGCCGTCATTGCTGACCTAACCAGTCTTTACCTGTATGGTGTACCTATTCGATGTACCTCTGTTCGTAACTACCTTGGGAAGTTATTCTGGGGTCCTTGCCGACTTTGCGTCGTATACCACCACGTCCTCATCCAACGTGGTCCCTGACATTCTTCGAAAACACCCAGATACCATGAGACATTACAGAATCGTAATCGTAAAGATATCATCGTGTAAAGACCATGCATCAGACTCATCATCGTGGGTTCGGCTCACGACGATCTCCGAGGGAGGGGCACAGAGGGGTAACACGACCCCGAGGAAGTGGGGGCACGTCCTATCTTATCGATAGTCAGATTAGATAAGCCACCTCGGACCCGCAACAAATTTTTGATCGATAGCAGTCGAGTCGCGAAGCGCTGCGACGAAAAAAAAAACCCCCCAAGGCCTATCTTTCGTCGTGTAGTTGCAGGACCTCCCAACATCTTTGGGCCACGCCGTCATGGAGGACCAAGTACACAAGCCTCACCGCAAGGCGAAAGACAAGAAGGGAAAGCAGCAGACCGGGGGTGAGTCTTGTGTCTCCACGAACACCCGCCAATTCGAATACTGACGAGCGCGCAGAAAAGAACCCCAAGGCCTTTGCCTTCTCTAACCCCGGAAAGCTTGCCAGGTCGGCCGCGAGATCTTCAGATGTGCGGCCCTTCCTCTTGCTCACATAGCATACCAGCAACTGACTTGTACCTGTACAGATCAAAGAACGACGCTTCCATGTCCCTCAAGTCGACCGCCTCCCCGACGAGCCGCCACCGAGGCTGGTCACCATCGTGGGACCGCCCGGTGTCGGCAAGACGACCCTCCTCAAGTCCCTGATCCGGCGATACGCAAAGGAGACCGTGTCCGATCCCCAAGGCCCCATCACCGTCGTCACCTCCAAGAAGCAGCGCTTGACCTTTGTCGAGTGCCCCAATGAGCTCGAGGCCATGGTCGACATGGCCAAGATCGCCGACATTGTCCTCCTCATGATTGACGGCAACTACGGATTCGAGATGGAGACAATGGAGTTCCTCAACATCCTCGCCGCCACCGGTATGCCCGGCAACGTCTTTGGCATCCTCACGCATCTCGACCTGTTCCGGAAACCGCAGGCGCTGAGGGACGCCAAGAAGCGACTCAAGAAGAGGCTGTGGAGCGAGCTGTACGCCGGCGCCCACCTCTTTTACCTCTCTGGTGTCATGAACGGACGTTACCCCGATCGCGAAATTCACAACCTCTCCCGTTTCCTGTCCGTCATGAAGAACCCGCGCCCCCTGATCTGGAGAAACTCCCACCCGTACACCATCATCGACAGCTACCGAGACATCACCCACCCCACAAAGATTGAGGAGGACCCCATGTGCGACCGGTCGATCGTGTTGTCGGGCTACCTGCGCGGCACCAACATGACGCAGCAGGGGCAAAGAGTTCACGTTCCGGGCCTGGGCGACTTTACCGTGGCTAACCTCGAAGTCATGCCCGACCCGTGCCCGACACCCGCCATGGAACAGGCCCTTGCCAAGGTCACCGGCAAGACGACACGACGACGCCTGGACGAGAAGGAGAAGAAGCTCTACGCGCCCATGTCCGACCGCAGCGGTCTCAAGATTGACGGCGACGCCATCTGGATCACGAGGGAAAAGGGATTCACGCTCGACAAGGACGCCGAGGACGGCGAGCGCGGCGAGGGTGAGGAGCTCATCGTGGGACTTCAGGGCGAGCGGAAGCTGCTGGGCCAGACCGAGGAGGGCGTGCAGCTCTTCAGGGGAGGCGAACAGCTGAAGCAAGTGGCCGAGGAGGAGGACAAGGGTAGGAAGACGCAGCGCCACGCACGTTTCGCCAACCGCGACGAGGAATCCGACGCCGAGCTGGACGACGATGAGGGGTTCGTCAGCGGGGAAGACGAGGGCGAGTCCGACGTGGAAGAGGAGTTCAACGAGGGCAAGCTGGGCAAGATGTTCCGGAAAACCGCCGACAAGGACGCCCAAGAAGACGACATCGCCTTTGCCGACAGCGACTCGGACCTCGGCTCAATATCGGGGCTCGAAGATGAGGACGAGGACTCGGACCAAGACATGGACCAAGAGGACTTTGACTCTGACGAAGAGGCAGCGGCCATGAAGTGGAAGGAGAACATGGCAGAGCGCGCAAAGAAGCTTCACGGCAAGCGACGCTCGTACCACACACCAGACCTGGCCAGGTTCATGTACGACGAGAAGCTGTCGCCCGACGAGGCGCTGCAAAAGTGGCGCGGCGAGGACCAGGAAGAAGAAGACATTGAAGCGGATGAGGACGACGACTTTTTCCAAAAGTCCAAGCAGGACAAGGAGGACAAGGTCGAGGACAGATCGATACCCGTGTACGACTACCAAGACCTGGCGGCGAAGTGGTCGCAGGCGGCGGCCGTCGAGGCTCTGCGGAAGCGCTTCACCACGGCGGGTATGCGTGACGACGACGGAGATGACGATGACGAGTTTGACGGCATCGACGATGACGAGGAGGAGGAGGACGACGAGGGTGATGGTGTCTTTGAGGATCTCGAGACGGGCGAGCAGCACGGAGGGGACGCGGAGGAACCCACAGAGGAAGAAGCGTTCGACACGGAGCGTGAAAAGAACGCAAAGCGTAAGGAGGAGCTCAAGCTGCGCTTCGAAGAGGAAGACCGCGAGGGATTCATGAACGATAAAGCCAACGCCCGGCGGGAAGGCGCGGCAGGCGACCAGGAGTTCGGCGAGGACGACTGGTACGAGGCGCAAAAGGCCGTCATCCAGAAGCAACTCGACATCAACAAGGCCGAGTTCGAGACGCTGGACGAGCGGCAGCGGGCGGCCGTCGAAGGCTACCGCGCCGGCAAGTACGCAAAGATTGTGCTCGAGGGCGTTCCCGCCGAGTTTGTCGAAAAGTTCAACCCGCGCAACCCCATCATCATCGGCGGCCTGTCCCCGACCGAGGACCGCTTCGGCTTCGTCCAGGTGCGCATCAAGAAGCACCGCTGGCACAAGAAGATTCTCAAGTCCAACGACCCCTTGATCTTCTCCCTCGGCTGGCGCCGCTTCCAGACCATGCCCATCTACAGCACCTCGGACTCGCGGACGAGGAACCGCATGCTGAAATACACGCCCGAGCACACGCACTGCTTCGCGACCGTCTACGGTCCGCTCATCGCGCCCAGCACGGGCTTCGTCTGCTTCAACTCCTTCTCGCCCGAGAACCCGGGCTTCCGCATCGCGGCGACCGGCACCGTCCTCAGCGTCGACGAGTCGACCGAGATTGTCAAGAAGCTCAAGCTCACGGGTACCGCCGACAAGATCCACAAGAACACGGCCTTTATCAAGGGCATGTTCAACACAGCGCTCGAGATCGCCAAATTCGAGGGCGCCGCCATCAAGACCGTCTCGGGCGTCCGCGGCCAGATCAAACGCGCTCTCTCCAAGCCCGAGGGCCACTTCCGCGCCACCTTCGAGGACAAGATCCTCTACAGCGACATCGTCTTCCTCCGCGCCTGGTACCCGATCAAGCCCCACCGCTTCTACAACCCGGTCACGAACCTCGTCGGGTGGCAGGCGATGCGTCTCACCGGCCAAGTGCGCCGCGACGAAGGGATCGACACGCCCCTCGAGAAGAACAGCCAGTACCGCAAGATCGAGCGCCAGACGCGGCACTTCAACCCGCTGCGCGTCCCGCGCGCCCTGGCCGCCGAGCTGCCCTTCAAGTCGCAAATCGTGCAGCAGCGCAAGCAGAAGAAGGAGACGTACATGCAGAAGCGCGCCGTGGTGCTCAACAAGGAAGAGAAGACGGCGCGGAACCTGCTGCAGCAGCTGTCGACGATCCGCAACGACAAGGTCGCCAAGCGCGCCGCCAAGAAGGAGGAGAAGCGCGCCGAGTACCGCAAGAAGATTGCCGACTCGGACGAGAAGAAGGAGGCGCGGGAGAAGAAGGAGAGCAAGGAGTTCTGGCGCAAGAACGGGCGGAAGCGCCAGGCTGCTGACGACGGAGGCAGTGGTGGTGGACAGAAGCGCAGCAAAAAGTAAATATTCGGAACACGGAAAACGGGAGACTAAAAGCAAGTAAGAGAGAGACAGAGTATGTGTAATCAAGGGCGCTTGGCTGTCATTTGCATTAGACGGCGCAGGCTGTGAAGCCTCTCAGTAGGGTATCTAACTTCAAAATCATTTCCTTGATACGTGCCCGTCGCTTGTGTCTATTTGCGCCTTTCTTG